CCCTTACACTCCTCTTCCTTCTCCTCTTTCGAAAGTATACTGTTAACAGTATACTAGTAACAGTAATGTATTTGTATTTATTAGATTAATGATATATTATTTTGATTTTAATATTATTAAATAATTATATTTATTAATTATATTATATATTTTAATATTTTAGCGCCTCGTTTCACTCGAGCAAGCGCCCGGGCGAGCGCCTAGCGCCTCGTTTCACTCGAGCAAGCGCCCGGGCGAGCGCCTAGCGCCTCAAGCGTTTTTGGACCTTGGCACCTTCTGGCACCTAGTGCTTTCTAAATCACTGGTTCCACATATATGTCACATTGATCCTATGTTTGCCACACACATGCCATAGGATTCCTTGTTGCTCCATGAGCTTTGCTTAATTCTTTTCCTCCATTTGCTCATCTTTCAAAGCTCAAAAACCTTTGATTTGCCTACTGATCTTGGCCAGCTTAATTCATGGAAACTGTCTCTCTACATTAAGTACAAAAGCAAAGTTTGTCTGTTCTCTGGAGCCCCTATGTGTTGGTTGGTATCTACAGGTGTGATTTACTTCTTGTCTGTGTACCTTAAGCTTAGGGTTGTAGTGTCTTTGCCGGCACTCACAACTCGTGTCTGCCTACCTATGCTGCAGGCCTGCCCATCATTGCCAGACCTTTTGGTACTTCTTGTCATTGTCCTCCTCCTTTCCACCTGTGCTTACTTCTCCGCATCCCTTGGTACCATCATATATACTGCATATAGATTGGATATGTCAGTACCAGTACCCAAGATATGAAACCTTGTATAAAATTATATGTATTGATTCTCCCTAGACCTTTCATTGGTAGGAGCCTCCTCAACTCGGCTGTACCATCTTAAATCAATGATGGTATACTTGGACATAATATTGCTCCTTGAGCATTCTATCTTTATGCAATAACATATTGCTTTCACTTAATCTCCCATTTTAATCAGTCTTCTTTTTTAGGAAATCAAGATATCTTCTTTTTCTCAAAAGTTTTCTGATGACATGTATCTCATTTTCGTGAGTCATGCAGCAGAATAAACTTAAATCTTATGTAGATTTATATGCATTTCAAAGAATCCCCTTTGTTTAAAAAAGCACTTTGGCTTGTTTCACATTTTATTAGTTTAGTATGTTGACTGCTTCTGCACTATGTTTTGTCTATTGCTATATCCTTGTTATAATGCATGTTATTTATGGTTTATGTGGTGGAACAGTATGCACACTTAGTTTCTTCACTTGAGATATCTGCATATCAATTATTATTGTTTATCAACCCATCTCAGCCTTAACAATCAAAAGAATGTTCTTGCACATGTGATGTCTCTGACATAGCTAATGTTTTTGCATTGTTCTTTAGAACCCCAACGATTTTCAATGGATGGGTATGAGGAACACATGCAAGTGAACCATCTCGCCCCAGCACTGCTTTCGTTGTTGCTTTTGCCATCGCTTCTTCGAGGATCTCCTAGCAGAATTATCAATGTTAATTCTATTGTAAGATCATTTTTTTAGTAACACATTTCTGTTGAAACAGATTTGAGTTTTTAGTAACACATTTCTGTTAAAACAGACTTGACGCTTAAAATTGATGCATAATAACCTTTAACATGTATTGCTTCACTTGTGATACCAACATGAAGAGTTCCTTCATGAACCTGAACTCGTTGGATCTCTCTTATCTTTGGGGCTACTATTTGCATTCTAAGAGATCCATAGGATGATAGACTTTTCTAAAATATGCTGAGACCAACCTGTGTGCTTTTTTCTTGGTAGAGGTAGATTTTGGAAATTGATATAGTGAGTTATTTGAAAGCAATGTTAAAAGAAAGACACTTCCTGATCAAGTTCTTCATCGCTATTGATGATAGAGGCTTAAGCTCTGGTAACTTTAGATGAAGCTTCAGTTGTCATTTTCCTTTAAAAATCAATTCTTATTTGCCTAACTAGTTCTCGGGAAATGTGTGTCCATTGATAAAATATGAAATGAATTTAAGCATTGCTTATTGATTGGGATAAAAAACTTCCAGCCAAACACAATTACCTACTTATTGGTGGTCTCATGGGAACTGCTGTAAGTTCTTAAAGCCCTAACTTGTTTAAATTTGGTGGCAAAACAATAGTTACTAGCAGTTTCAGCTGAATATGGACTTATGTTTTTATGATTTCTGTTGATTGATTTCATAGAAGTATGATTTTCTGTTGCTAGCAGTTTCTTCTTTTAGTTTTATTCTAGAATAAGAGTTATTAGTGATTCTTCGGGAATGGGTATTTTGTTGTTATGGGTGATGGCTGCTTTCTTTATGTTATTGTCCTAATGACTACTCGATAATGTTGTCGTTTCTAAATATGATATTTCAAATGATATTGAACCTTTTTTCTTGATTAGTAGGATTTGTTTCCTTTTTTCCTTTTCTTCTTTTAGTTTTATTCTAGAATATTTTTGGAAATATGAATAGACTTATTTCATTACTGCTAGGAGTTAGTAGCCATTCTTCAGGGATGGAAATTTTGTTGTAATGGTTATATGGGTGATTGGTGCTTTCTTTATGTTAATATTCCTAATGTCTCCTCGGTGATGTTGTGGTTTCCAAGAGGCATTTCAAATGATACTGAGCTTTTATCTTGATTAGTCAGTGTCTTCCTTTTCTTCTTTTAGTTTTACATGGTCTATTGTTAATTGCAATGTGTTGGCCATGTGGACATCGAGGATGTGAACATGTCTTCTGGAAGAATATTCATGTATTTCCTTTTGTTTCTTTCAGTTTAACTTGTTCTCTCTTTCATAACTCTCTTTTTTTTTTTTTTTTTACTTTTAGATGCATTTTGTTGGCTATGTGGACACACATGATATGAACATGACATCTGGAAGAAGCAAATACACAAGCTTAGAGGGTTACTCAAGTAGCAAGCTGGCACAGGTAGCTGTAATAAACTTATTTTTTAAAAAAATTTGAATTGATGATTAAGTTTGTGTTTCTAATGAAGGTATATAGTATGGCTATTTTTCTTTGATTTCAATAAGATTCTGATTCATTGTTGTCTTTATCCTATGTGAATTAGTTATGCAATTCCTAATCTCCAACATTTTAAATGATTCAGTGATGAAATGATGGAACATTATTGTCTCAGGTAAAATTCACTAGCATTCTTCACAAGCGAATACCTGCAGAAGCCGGCATCAGCGTCTTGTGTGTTTCTCCCGGCATCGTTCACACGAATGTTGTGAGTCTTTTATAAATCTCTTGTATATTTTTTCCCTTCATTAGTGGTGGTTCTTTTTAGTGTTATCCTTACTTGATAATCCACTAACAAGACTTGCTTGAAGAACAACACCTCAGCAGTCTAATGCAGAGAAACTGCTAAATCAATCTCAGTTAGCAACTTTGTCTCCCATAAGCTTTGTGGCCTAAACCAACCCACTGAGTCCTTGTAACCACCAGAAGATTCAAATCAAGCCTTTAGGATGTTAGCATCATTAGATGTCAGATTTGCAACTCATGCCTTTTAACATCTTAAAACTGTTCTCTTTTGCTGCATATTTGGGCGATCTTAACATGCTTGGAATTTGCAGGCAAGAGACCTACCTAAGGTCATCGTTGCAGCTTATCATCTAATTCCATATTTCATATTCAGTGCTCTCGAAGGTACGAACACCTTCCTGCGGCAGGATCATTTGTTATCGTTGCCATAATGTTCATTCCCATAATATTTATTTCAGGTATTTCCCCGACATAAATAATCAATCGAACTTTTGGTGTTGTAGGTTCGAGAAGCACTCTATTTGCAGCCACTGATCCTCAGGTCCCAGAATACTGTTCAGTACTGAAGGCTGAAGAATGGCCTGTTTGCGCCTACATTTCTTACGATTGCCGTCCGATAAACGCATCCGAGGAAGCCCACAATCTCAAAACTTCACAGGATGTCTGGGAGAAAACACTAGAGTTAATCGGGCTCCCATCCGACGCCTTGAACAAGCTCATCGAAGGCGAGGCAGTGCAGTGCCGTTTTGGACCAAAAGAAGAATGACGACATGATTTTATCCAGGTCATAATTTTGCAATTGGCGAATTGTTTCATCAGTTTTCTTCGCAAGGGAATAAGATTAACGATTAGGTTACCCTCTGTCCTTGCCGCTAGTTTGGTGCATCGTAAGTGGCATTCTCAAGGATTCTGAATTAGACATTAGTTTACTACTTGACCCACCCAGAGAGACTTCATTGTGTGTCGCCTTGGAAACATATTTAATGGTTCGTGCCTGCCTGCCTGCTGGCTGGCTGGTTAATCAAGATTTGCATGTCTATGTAGACGTCGTGGTCATACAACTTTTTCATTTCTGACTGACTGATTCGAGCATAAACTGTTACGCGCATCTGATCCACTCCACACATGATTGTTGCCTTTGCTCGATGGTAATACTCTTTCTTCCTCCCTCCTTTTGTGTTCTTGGTTCTCTTTCTTCTTCCTCTTCTAAGGCAATCCATCACAGAAATCGTATATTTAGGCTTGCTTTGTCGAGTGCCACAACTGTTATTCCTAGTGGCGATACTACTAGGAGTTAAAACACTGCCAACTCCATTCTCAAAGGCTGAGTAATATAATATAGCATCTGTTGTTTCTTGGATGCAATGTGATAAAAGATCCGAAACTTAAAATATGCACTAGTGTTAAGTAAACTATTCATCAAGCTGGCCACTAGGGTTAAACATCCATAGACAGTCTTCACTAATCTGTCAGCCTTTCTAGGTGGGGAGATATGCTAATGCTTCAATATAGAAAACAACAAACCATTTTTTTAATGACATCCTGCTTAATCTCTAAGTTAAAATAAGTAGCAATACCACAACTAGCACTACCTAATCCACCGTCAACGAGAAATAATAAGAATTACATCGAAGTCAGTTGAATGTGGACAGACACAGAGCTGCACTTCCTACAGTGCAAATTTGTGCTCGTATACTTGCAAGCACACAACAAACGTGGAGCTTGCAAGTTCAAATTGTGAGAGTTCATAATGAAATGGATTAAAATGCCAGCTTTAACTCTCCTTTGTTTACAGCACAATGACCACATCACAAGGGTTACTAAACTCCTTTGATTTCAGATGCCAAAGTATTGAGATTCAGCGTCAGAGAGAAAAAAAAAGTAGTACCGTATATAGGTAGGTGTCAGACATGCCACATGCTTTCTGCCATTGGTGTGCTTATGCATTGGGAGGCCAAAGCTTGGAGTCTTGTGTGGTATCCATGACAGCAGGGGGAAGCCATTGCCACATGGCCATGCCAGGGTAAGCAGGGAAGTGGGCAGCCTTGTTTGATGGGGCCTGAACATGCGGAGAAAACGTAGTAGGGGCGGCAGCAGGATGATATGCAAGTGGATGTGGCATGAAGCCAGAAGGAGCCATGCTTATGGCCTTGACTTGTTGCTCTAATGTCTCCTTATCAGCCTTCAATTTCATCTTCTCGTCTCGAAGCTCATTCTTCTCCACCTGATCATACACTTTTACCATCAGTGCAATCTTCAAAGCAGTATTATCAAATTTTGTCACAGTAATAATCAGATGGTTACAGAGAGAAGAAAGAAAAAAAAAAAGAAATTGAAGAAAATATCTGTTTTTTTTTTTCTTTCTTTAATGTCATCGTAAGCGTCCCATATCTTTCCTTCATTTAATCCCATCCCTTTAAATCATAAACAAACAAATCTCCAATTACAAAGAAAAACTTGAGCCTACCTAGGTTATATATAATTTAGATAAATGGAATTAAAGAAAATTCTGCCAATGACAGAAACAAATATTGTAGACCAGATTTCTTTGCATTCATGGACCAAAAACTCAATTCTAAAAGATCTACCAAGAAGAATATCAAGCATTAACATTATGCCAACAACATATTGAAGCAATTTGGAGACCAGTTCCTCCAAATAGATGAACCATTGCAAAACCTTTTTCTTATGTATATCTCCACCCCCCCACGGGTACAGGACAAAGAAAGGCAAAGTGGAATGAAAAACAATAATTAACTATATAATGCAATGATCAAGTTGGATCATGGTGGTAGTAGTTATTAGATCAATTAAAGGACCACTTTCCCAGCTCTGCAGAGTCAGTATGGATAACCTACACAACTAATTAATAGGAACAATTATTGCTATTTATAAATTACTTTGGTATTCTTTATGTTTAAAACAATTACATCATGTATTATTATTATTATTATTATTATTATTATTATTATTATTATTATTATTATTATTATTATTATTATTATTTCTAACTACTTTTAGTCCACTTCTGCAGAGATACTAATCCCCCAATCTGGTAAGCTAATCCAACCAACTGCCATCCAATTATGTTGAATGATAAAACTCTATTCCTAGCTCAAACATTTAAACCTTGCTCAGAGATCATTGTCACCCATCAATAGAGAAAGAATATGAACAGAATCAGACCTTCAGATCCTTAATTGTTTCTTGAAGCTTGTCATTCGATTCCTTAAGTTCCTGTGCATCAGCTTTTAACTGTACCAACACACGAGCTGCATCACTTAGTATACTTGCCTTGTCAGACTTAGGAGTTCTACCGGGGTCAAGAATTAAAGACAGTTCTGAAAACCTACAGAGAACAGGAAATTCCAGATAAGTAGCATTACAGGGAATACAGCAGTAGCATTAACAGGGAAAAAGAAAAAAATTGATCATGCTATTTACTAGCAGACTCTGGTATTTGATAATTTTAGTTTAACAATGAGCACCTATCATTTAACTTATCGCGTCGCATTTTCTCACGGCAAGCTTTTGACTTGAGTCCAGTGGTTGAATCATCTCTAGCCCTGTAAAATCAAAGTTTATGTTAGTTTTAACGAGCCACTCAAAAGTATGACAGTGAAATCAGCTCATAATAATCTGGTTTTAGCTAGATAAAAAGAACCAAGTTGAAAAATATCAGTTAGACACCAATAAAATTTGGGATAAACTTACAATATGATCTCAGGCGTCCCAAACCCTGTTTCCCAAACTATAGCAAAAAAGCCCTAAATCTTCTCGTAGTTATTAAAAAACAAAAATTGCAATCAAATTTGCTCCTTCCTAGTGACTCTTAAAGTGCTTCACAATATTAGCATGTTCCAAGCAAGTATATGGTGGAACTATATCTGCTTAGGTAACCAAGGAAGGTGAAGCAAGTCATAGCTAGCGGACATGATTCAGTTGAAAACCTTTATACATACAATTTCTTCAGACGGCTGTCTGAAGAAACAAGGACCTAAGTATTACGCTTCTTAAACCTGACTCTTACCTTGCCATGTGAGACACTCTAATTCCACCTCAAAATTTGACCCTAAGGTTGTCCTGAAATCTGTGTTTGTATCAACATTAATTGCCTTCCTTTACATAGAAGAGATGCTAATCTCAAGTTCTCCCCTTTTGTAAGCCAACACAAACAATAAAAACGTAGTTTTGGAATATAGGAATCATAATATTTAATTACCCTACAACTATCACGCACATAAAGTAAGCCCCAGAATCCATCCCCCATCCAGAAAAAGTTGGAAAGAGAACAAAAGGAAGCAGAAAAGGATGAAGAACTGATTCCATTAACATGCTGTTGCAACATATCAGAATCAACATCAAGAAAACACCTACCTTTTCTTTAGGCTAGTCAGCTCCACACCATAAGCCTCCTCGATGCCCACTCTGTCACAGAATTCCCATTCCAAACACATTAGCGCAATTACTTCACAAACCATTTAGCGTCAAGGCAATGCGATCTAGACACGAGAAATGAACAAGAACAAAACACACGAAAAGAGGCAACGCACCCGGTGGTGGGTACCATGTCGCAGAAGCTTTCGATGGCGCAGCGCAACTCGGCATCGGATCCCCCGCCGTCGACCCAGTAGTCGTCGATCGAGTTGGATTCCATGGAAGGACACGCCCTCCTGCTCCTTCCTTCTCCCTTCTCCTCCCTCGATCCGATCCCTGTCGGAAGGGAAGAAACTAACCAACCGAAAAAGGGTTAGGGTTAGGGTTAGGATAAAGGTTCGGCTTCGGGATCCGGCGACGCCGAAGGATGAGAGTGAGAGAGAGAGAGAGAGAGAGAGAAAGAGGAAGGAGACGCGTAGACGCGACGAGGAAAGGAAGGAGGGAAGGGCGGTTTTGTGCTGCGGGGAAAAGGAGCGCTTTTTATCTTCGGTGGGGCCTCGGCGAGCGCCCGTCACCGAATGTGGAAGGTGGAATGCTTCATTTATTTGCGATTTGATCCCTAAACCCATTAATCTTTTCACAATAGTCCACTGCAGTCGTCAAATTAGAATAACAGTACCATGCATTCATTTCACGCAGAACTAATGACGCGTGCGGACGCTTATCCATTAAATTTACACAAAAACCCTTCCTTGTTTTAATTTTTGGTTTCTAATTCACTGTTATTTTCATAATCATCCTCTGACTTGATTAAATTTCAATACAATCCCGAGACATTTGATTACCGCCTAAATATTACAGAAAGATCTAAATAAAGCTTTCTACAAAAATAAAAACACTCGTCCATGTTTTATTATTATTTTTTTTCGTGCCCTTTTGCCGTTCCTACCCCTTAAAAACTTGTTTTGCTGATTTCTACTTTTTATTAGGTAATTCTGACTCCTAAGCTTGACGAACTCAGAATATAAATAATTAATTAAAGTTTCATGTTCCCGTCTATCTTCCACTTGGATCTAAATAATTTATGTCCATCTCATGTATGCTACTCTACATCGAAACATATCATATCATGTCTAGTAAAAAGTAATATCATGCTGAGATGCGTTTCTATGGGAATATATTGTGATCCAAAAGGTTAAAGGCCGACAAGACAATGATAGGGCTCGGATGATGATTTGATTATGACATGATCATGATAAGGGCGGGACATGAAAGGTGAGGAGAAAGAGGGTTAAGGCTTTGGTCTCAGGATATTTGGGACGCCGCGTCTCTTCCATGACCGCACATTGAGGTCGAACAGAGAGGGGCCAAGTGCTACAGTGGGGCAGTGCCTGTGTTGACATCTTGGGAAGTGTTCAAGTAGGCTTGGTTTCACATCATGGTGGAGAAATAGTGTTGACATACTAAATCTACAAAAGTAGGGCTCACTTTGATCAAGATTCTTGTGAAAAAGTTACATTGAAGAACACAAACGAAAAAGGAGAAAAGATGAGAAAGGAACATAAATACCTTGAAAGAAGAGGCATGCAGGCGGCATGGGCACTTCCATGGATATACACAGCCTTGGTCTTCGTTAGGTTTCTTCTCCCGAGCTGCTACACCGCACTTTCGAAGGTTAGTGATTTGATTGATGATGAAAAGAATGGACAGAAAATGAGAATCACAACATCAGATATCTTATATAGACAAAAATCATTCAGCATTTCAACAAAAATTGGGAGGCATCCAAAGTGGGTATAAAATTATTTTTGCAGATTGGGAAGGCAACAAAGTTGTTTCAGAGGAGGCAGTTGTAAGAAGCTTGTTTTGGCTGCAAGTTAAAGTACAGGCTGTGATAAGGTGTGGAAGATGATCTGGAATTTAAAGACTCCCAATAACATTGAAATCTATGTTCGGTTGGTTCTGCCATAACATACTTCTCTCAGCTAATAATAACTTGAATTAGAAGGGAATTAAAATCTCAAGGGAAGTCTTGGGAACAGATGCAGCAAGTTAGATTGCTTTGCACGCAACTATAAAGTGTGAAACATTCCAGGCAGCCAGGTCTCATATGGGCTCTAAAGTTAGATATGTTGTTCCCAGGGACCTTTAGGAGTCTGAAAGATTTGTTCTGGCTTTTTCTGAACATAAGAAGGATACCAAATTGAGGACATTGATCAGGATGTCTGGGCTACTTGATAGGGCCACAATGAGCTGAGTGGTGAAACAGGTATATTTTGACATTTAGTGCCCACAACATACCTGTTCACCTCTCAACTCACTCATAGGCCTACTTAATAGGGCTACTCGATTAACCACACAAGATTTATTGTAGCTAACCATGTAAGTGATAAAGAACAAGTCACATTGATAACAACAATATAAATGAATATGTGATACTGTCAATTATCAATATGCAACACAAAGAATTCGATAAAGAGCTATTAAAAAATTTCAAAGATTCAAGTACCACCATGCACCTAAATCCTCGAGAGATTCACAGACAAAAGAAATATCCTACCTTTAAGCTTTAAACAACACAGAAACTGCAACCTGAAATTTTCTGTCTTCAAGCTTTTGAGCCAGGAAACTGAGAAAATACGCACTGCACAAGATATGCACTGCACAAGTCAAAATAAACACAAAAGTTCAGGGCTAAATCAAATCACAAAATAAAACCTCAAATAAATGAAAATTACAGCTATCAGTAATGACTAGAAGGAAAGCTCTTCTTTAGATCCCTTCCCAATAAAATTTCTGCGAGAAAAAACATGAGCATGAAATCCTAAAACTTGCTCTCCCAAAAGCCATAATCTTCTACAGCTAAGAATGCAAGATATTGGAAGCAAAAATAGCTGGAGAACCACTAGAAATGCAAGATATCAGCTTAATTTCTTAAGCGGAGTTCTGGACATTCCATGTTCAGCTTAATTTTAGTTTGATCCAAAGGAGAGTGGAGCATCGCTATTTCCAGATCTAGCATGTGCTTCTTATTTGATCTGGTCGAGACTCATATGGCTAGCATTTAGCATCTTATTATTACTTGACAGGAGAGGAATATGGACCAATCTGAACATGGAATGTGTCGATATCTGGATGCCAATAGACAGAATAGTAATGCCTCATTGTGAAACCAAAAGCCATCTTCTTTGCGTACTATGCACTCAGTGCAGGCAGGTTCCAAATGTTCGAGGAGATGGAATCAACATTTACAGTTTAAGATCACTCATAAATGTTAGCACCTGTTACAAAGAAACGAAGATCAAGAGAACTGGAGTGAAAATTTTAATGGCAAAGCTCCAAACATATGCAACACTTATAAGTAGACAAACTTGAACCAGAAATCTTAAAAAGTGACAGCAAGTATAAATTTCTAGTTACTGAGCCAATAAAATTGCTTGCTAGATTTCAGCATATTTAGAAAGAGTTTGCAAGGATTTCTTACTATAAATGTGTAAGAAATCTAGGGAGACGGGCAAAGAAAGAACAGATGACAATGACCTAAATGGGGTATGAGAGTTCAATTTCTCTTGCCATCACCAACCCAATCTTAAAAGTGCCTCTCAACTCCAATATGTCCACTTTTATCATCTTATCCATTTCCTTGTAGCTCATGATTGAGGCATTTCTTTGCCACAAAGATAATGCATTCCTTGCAGCAAAATTAATATTCCAAAGAAAAGATAATGCATCAAAGAGAAACACAAAACATTTCTCCAGACAATTTCCACTAGTAAACTTTAATTTTTGTCCTATGTCTTACATTTTCTATCACGAAGCAATTCAATGTGACTGAAAAAAAATCAGCAGGATGAAGCAACAAGGCAAAATTTTTTAGCATCTCATAATCAACAAGGCAGCAAACAAAATCCATCCTCGTAGCAGAGTGATCAAAGGGGTCAGGAACATGGAAACTATATGCAAGACAATCCAGTTATGCTGAGTTACTACACCCTTTAGCCATCATTCAAACAAGATGAGCAGAATATGCATTAGTTGCCCTAGAATTGAACCCCATTGCCACAGCGGAACAATTGATGGACCATGCGATCTTCAGATTTTTGTTATCAACTCTGCAATTGCTACGAATCTGAATCTAAAATGCACTAAGAGTATCTCTACACCCAGACATTAACTAGAAGAGAAAACAGATCAAGCTGTAAAGAAAGGCCGAGAGTTATAGAGTCGGGCGAATACCCTCTCCTGAGGGCCCATGGGTCCACGGAGCCTATGGCCGTGGCACTGATGTACCCTCGACGCCCCATCTCTGCAATCGCCAGCCTTCTTCCACCACCACCTCCTCCTTCTCCCCTGTTTCCGGCAATTGCTCCTGGCTGTTGCTGATGATGATTCCCCTCACGTTCTCGCCTCTCGACTGAGCCGGATCTTTTCTGCTCCGCAGTAGATGAGATAAGGATGACGACTCTTCGTAGAGGAGAAGGAACAGCAGCAAGAAGGGCGGCGATGAGAGAGGTGGAGAGAGAACGGCGATAGAGGATGAAACGGAATTAGGAGGGAAGCAAAAGAACTCTAATTTTCCTTTTTTTTTAGATAAATATAATTAATATTTATATTAGCGACAATATATCTATTTTCACTAACATATTGGGAACGACATTAAAATATTTTTAATGCAAGAAAAAGTTATTAAAAGCATAATTTGACATAATTCATATTTTTTAAAAAAGTAGTTTAATAGGTATGAAACTAATTTTACGCTATAAAAATAATTTTATTATATTTTTATATATTTTAAATTTTAAATTTCACTTGTTATCCATCACAAAAACTTAATAGAGGTGTTCAAATCAAATCAAAAAATTAATCTAATCAAAATTAAATCTAAATTGAACTAATTCTAAATTAGATCGTGTTGTCCAATTGGATAAAGATTCCGACTCGATTCAATTGAATTTAACTAGTTCATTATATATATATATATATATATATATATATATATAAGCTAGTTAATCGATTAATCGAATTGAATTAATTACTTTTTAACTAATTCAATTAGATAGCTCTGAAACTATTGGTTTGAATCTTATAAAATTATGTAATTATCTCTGAAGAGCATATTAGGAGGGAAGGAGGGACACTTCTAACATAAAAATTAATTGAGATACTTTTCTACATAAATTCCCCATATAAATTTGTATAATTAAAATATTAATACCAAAATTACACTGATGATTAACTCATCATTGATATGAGTGTTCTCATTTCAGCCATATAATGACAGATTCAGAATTGCTTGTAAAAACATTAAAAACAATGCTACACATTATATTAACCATGGAAATTAGATCATCAGTAATAATTAGTGTTTTCATTGCACTAATATCATTCTGAATGCATAGTTTTAATGTCAGATTCAGAATTGCTTGTAAAAACATTAATATCAGTGTTTTTATCTATCATAGCTACATACCAATATTTGTACTAAACTTTATATCAACCATGGCAATTGGATTATCAGTAATAGCAACTATTCCTTGTGTTCTTCATGTAATCTCAAATATAAGAAACAAACTTGAAGCCAACGAAATGGTGTACAGCATCACAGACCATCGTTTTGCTGTCCATTGATGGTCACTTCATGCACTCTACGTGACTTCTGCACTCTCTTCCTCCCACTTGCTGACGCTATAGAATTTTTGTTCTGGCGTCTAGTGCTTGTGCTTTTTGCACTTCGAATCCTACATCCTATTCACGGAGGATCTTCTTCACTTTCCTGTGGCTTTGACAGTAATAATCCATCTTAATCACATCTCTTTACCCATGGAAGTTCTTCAGATCCTAATATGGGCGTCAGGGAAATCTCATAGACAAGGATATATAAGATGTCTTCTTCTGCATGCATGGTTCAACGGACAGCCATTAAAGCACCAAGCGGCAACCAAGGTGGAGTACGAGAAGGACCAACATGCACAGTGTCCTGTGGGAGATGAGTCAGCTACTGTGCTGCATGCCTTGGTCTTTGTGGTTTCATGGCTTGTGGCCACTACTGGCCTTTACCTTGCCTAGTGAGAGACCAGTGAAGGTTCTGCAAGTACTCAAACAAGTGCCTGGAATCGAGTGTTTCCTTGGGTTTGGCGCCGCCCATTCCTTTTCCCTTCTTTGCTGTTGTCTTGCCTCCAATGACCCTTACTGCTTTGATGTCTGCTTTAGTATTTTATTGATGTTTGGTTATGATGCACGATGAGCAATGAGATTAGGTATGGAGATTAGAATATCCATCTACACACACACTTTTGTGCTACCTGAATCTGTAGGTAGGTGTCCATTGTTCTGAATCTTCTGCACTCCTTTCACTTTAGGTGAAGTCACCATTGTGACGCTTGATTGTTAAGACCCAGTCTTCAACTGTATATAGTTCATATCTTCGGGTTTTCTAGAGCTGCAGGAGACAATAATAAGACTACTGTGAAGTCTATCGAACCTTAGTTCCTCTTCAGCTTCTTCTCGTCTCATCTACGTAGTTAGGTAGATAGAAAGGGTGAAAGATGGCTTAAAGGTTACATTCAAATTGCAGTGACTTAATTAGACATTTATAGAATCACAACATGTTTAAATGCTTGTGTTTGCAATCACTACAATTACTGCGACACTTAAATGTTTGACCATTGTTGACCATGAATACCAAAAAAAAAAAAAAAAATATATATATATATATATATATTTACGAAAAGAAGAGACGAAAAATAAAAGAGTGGGCCATACAGGTGTCTACGTGGGTACAACAATTGTCCTGCGTGTACTACCGGTGAGACATACTGGGGTGGGTCCTACCAACCCAACTCTGTCCTGCTTCAGTGTCTATGGGTGCATTTACGTTGGAAAGAAGGATCGGTGGGTCCCAGTTTGTGCCATTTTAATTTCTTTTACCAGAGACGACCCCACCTCCACCAGCCCATGGCCGCCACATCCGTCCACTAGAGTCACGCCACCTGTCCCCTGTCGACTGGCTCTTGTCGCTGTTATCTCCGACCACCACTCGAGCCTTTTGGTAATTCTGTTTCCGCCGCCCCGCACAGCGTTATACCCGCCGTCTACCTTTCCGAATCGTGAGCCGCACCTGGGGATCCCGTGCATGGGCCGCGGGAGGGCCCCGCGTCTCACATCCTCCTGCGCTTGACACGTTAGCTTTGGTTCTCGAGCCACCCGCCAAAAAGCACGTATCCGTACACTGGGCACCGTAGCGGATCCGGATCGCTTAGCGCTTCCGTCCTTTCTCTATCGCCATTCTCGTCGTTAGATCGTTGCGCCCGAGATTCCGGCCATTTTACTCACCTCTTGACACCCTTATGGGAAGTGAGACTATCCACCGACGGTCCATTGCGTTGCCGCGTGCCTGTCTCCTCAGTGTTTGGTGGGTCTGCGGGGTCCACTATTTGGACAAGCGCATTGAACATTGAGAAGGCAGGTAGCTAAGTGGCGTGACTGTGAAGGGGTGGGAAAAGTTCTTCCAAGGAATCTTTAGTAGTTTAGAGCCCCAGTTTTTGAAAACTTCTTTTCTGTACGGAGAAACAGATTCGAGATTCCCGCAACGGTGAAACGAACTGAGGATGATCGGAATGGGGTGGGCTCAACCGTCCGATCCGCGGCCCACCGAATTGCGAGGTCGCCTTTCGAAACGGACGGATACAAATGCGACACGTGTTAGCACTTTGCCGCCACTGGGTGGTAATTAAGCAAGAGTTGAGGGGCAATTCCCGTCCTCTGATCCCAACTTAAGTAGGCGAGAGCGGTGGGAGCCGAAACGGCTGCCAGGAATCTGATCTCCGTCGAGCGCGATCGATCGAGCAGGAGGGAGCAGGAGTGGATTAGCATTGAATTAAAGAAGAAAGAATCGAGACCAAAGAGGAGGTAATGACCTCCGATTGTGAATTTTTATGAATTTTTGCTGAATTTTTGTATTAGCAGGAGGTAACGGCTTCCATCTCTTTCTCTCTGCATTTTTATGAATTTTTGCTGAATTTTTGAAATTATTTTTTCATCTAGCTTTGTCGTCATATGATTCATCAGAGGTTGATAGTCCCGGAAAACAAGTAATTAAAATATGTCAAATCGCTAACAGTTGTGATTATTTATATAATGATAAATCGTTGATATAATTGGTGGTTGAATCGATCACATATCCGCTCAATCGTTAATATTGCCACTTTAATCGACATATTTATTTGGAATTTTTTTAGGAAATGGGAACAGACTACTAATTTTGCAACTTCTTAGAAGAAGGGTAGGTTAGATAGGCGACTACGTTGAGAAGATTAGATGAAAAACAAAGTATTCTTGAAAGGAATATGTGTCTGGTAAGGAATTTTTTTATTTTATGTTCTCATTGAAAAGGATAAAATGCATAGCGTTGGGGAGCAAAAGTTTGGAATCTTGTTCTCGTTCCTCGTGCTCCCATGAGGAAGTGGAGTGCAAGTATCCGAAAGTTGTCATTCTGTTCCGTTTCATTTTCGTTTCCTGTTGTGGAGTGTTTTTGGGCTTAGCTTGGGATATGTTGGGGAATTTTAGATATGTGATACGGTTCTTGGACGCTAGTGGGGCTTTTTTTGAAGACTAGGGTTTTGATCAACGTCTAGAAGGATGGAAAGTATTTTCTTTTTTTGGCTTCTCGAGCGGTTTGAAATTCTCGGAATGCAGTTTCGGAGGTCTTTGGTGGCTATTTTCATCAAGATTAAATCTTTAGATTTTTGAAATTTGAGAATCTCGATTCGTAAGTAATGTCTTACTTTTTCTATATAATTTTACTTGATTCAGTCTTCTTGGTTTCTTTGCAGGAAAGGCTGCGACTTCATATCCATTCTGTTTTCAGTGGCAATTAAAATGTTGGTGATCCGGACTATAGATCAACTGGTATTATAAAATGGTTTTACTATATCTTGATTTCACTGTTTCTTCAAAAAATAGTGACTACCTAATGTTTGCTTAGGGTGGGTGCTGTGGAGTAATTACGGATAATGCATGATAAATTTGGAGCCTTCAGAGTGCAGTTAGCATAAGATGGTGACTGATTCTAACATGGGTTCTCACCAATCAAGCGTTCCTTTTTCTTTTCATCATCCTCGTATGGTCTCTTTCCAGTCAAGTGCACTAGATAGCTCAACAGAGATGATTCCTGTTGACATGTGCAGTTTGGATATGAACAACAACATGGCCAGCATGTTTGTCTCTACTGGCTCTGACATGATAAATAATATGGATGTGATGACTGCAGCTTGGTGCCCTGCAGGAACAGTTCGTGAACCAATACCAAGGTTTACACATGTGACAGGGTTACCTGCATATTGGTCTCCAGATGAACTGAGATTGTTGAATATAGGTCTTGTCAAGTATGTATGATATCTGCATTATGTTGGTTTCTAAAATAAGTGTTTCCTTTGACCTTGTTTATTGTTCAGCTTTATCATGGAGGATGGATGTTGAAATATTGTAGATTAGCTTGGAACTTTGTTTCATAAGGCACTTGGAGTTCTGTCACAATCTTTCCATTGAATTGAGTTTTGCATCTTCCTTCATTTGAATGTTCTGGACAGGATTTGCTCTTCTATTGTGTCTCATGCATGAATATTGATACTCGTTTCTTTTGTCATATGTGTCATTTTAGGCACTCAAGTTTCTTTGCAGGCATCAAGTATCGAGGATTAGCATGAATTTTCAATAAATTGACATATATTTTACGTTTTTGTGGATTTGTTTTGGGAGTTCTATACTGAGATTGTCAGGATATGGCCTTACATTAACTGTTTTTCTGTCTATGAATGACAGATATGCTAATAAACAAAGTGTTTCAAAGTATGCTGAGATAGCTTCCATGCTGCCTCAGAAGACTATAAGAGATGTTGCATTGAGGTGTCAGTGGATGACTGTAAGTTTTCATTTTTATTTTATGTAAAATTTAACCATTTCATTGTGCTTGGTTTATTATCTAGATATTTATTTGTCATTGTATGTAACCTATATTTTCTTTTTGTTAGTTAGAAAACACTATTTGAGGGATATAATTATCTCATGTTACAATTTGTACCATTGCATTCTGATAAAAAATCATGTAATACTGTTTACTGTGAGTCTTTTTTGAGTTCTTAGTCATCTTCACTTATCTTTAAGAATCATTAGCAATTGTTGGAAGCAAGAATTAAAATATTGTATCGTACCGGAGTTTCGACATTTGCATGGGAAGAGAAACTATATATATATATATATATATATATATATATATATATATATATATATATATATATACACACACACACACACACACATCGTCTGGTAACGAGCAGTCCGTGTATCAGTCTGCTAATGGACCGGTATGTACCACATACCGCCCGGTACGAGCGGTATTATTTGAAATTGAAAACCTTGATTGGAAGATCATTATTTCAAATATGCCAAATGCTTTGTTTATCTACAGATTTAAAATTTCCTTGGAAGACATGCATCTTGGGCAATTCTATTGCAGCAAGTGACTTTTCTGGTTAAGTCAATTTGGGGTTTCACATCCAGTATCTCTTATCTGACCCATTTTTTTCCATAGTAGTAGATTTAGAGTGGGAATGCTCTGCTTGTTATAGGTTTTACTTCATTGCAAATATCTACAATCTATGTAGTGTCTAAGTGAAGAGGTACATAATTGGGACATTTTAGGACAACAATGTCTAAATTTGGCAATGGATTTTGTTACGAGCACTGTTATCCTTTTAAATAATATGATTATAAAAAGTTTCTAAGATTCCTTCAGTTGTTTCTTAATCTACCTCGTTAATTAGAGTAGTAAAAGAGAAGAAGTGCTGATATTTTGTCTCTAACCAGTCAGTTTTTGTCTTTTCTCATATTCTCACTGTTTTAGCGAATGCAACCAAGGTTTTTTGGAAGGAGTGGTTTCCTTTGGATTTGGAATCCATTTTGTACGCTGACCTTTTTAGGTCTTTTTGTAGACATTTAAATATATAATATATCTTTTTTTTCTGGATTAAAAGAGAAAGTCAAGTGCTTGCGAGTTGGGATAAAATTGTTCAGATTACCCACCTTGGACCTCCAATATAAGGACTGAAAGGGCCTCTTTTATCTGTCGGAGAAGAATCGACATAGGAAAGTAGTAGTGATTTCAATTTTCATTTTTGTTTCTTTGTGGCTAATGGCTTTGTGCTTGTGCTTTAAGTGTCCAATCATTTTCATGCCTTTAACCTGCATAATTTATGCAGATGTGGAAATGCTAAAGTTGATTTGTGAAAGCTTAAATTCACTGAATCTCTACAAATGGGCTCTCAATAAATACAATCTTACAAACTTCAAAAATTATGATATTTTATATGTTTTGTTCTTTTGGCATGTGATTAGCAAATGCATTTCTTGGATTTCCACCCTGCAAAACTATATGAAGTATAACTTATGATGTGAAATGTTCTTTGTCTGGGGCCTATAACTTCAGTACATTTGAAATTAAAACAAAAAACCACAATTGGCCCGGATGTAAATGTGTAATCTATTTTCATTTGATAAATGATCCATGCTTCTACGGTTACATGTCACGTTCTTATGGATAAAAAGTTTGATGTAGCTTTGTTCTCTATAGTTCATTGTCCTAATTGAGTTGGCATAAAAATGATGTGTCATAACATTTTCTTTGGTTCAATTACTGGCATCCTTGTTAGAAGAGAGCTTGACAGAACAAAAGTCACATTTTACAATTATTTTCCCATTCTAATTAAAAACTGAAAATTTAATATATAAGATATGGAACTGTCGAGGGAAACAAGGGTCGGGCTTTTCTAGAGAGACATGTTAAACACTTCACTGAAGTTTAGGGCTTTTGCTGTTAATTTGCAACATCATTTTAAGTATGCATGCCATAGCATTTGAATTTGAAATTTAATTTGTAAAATTGCTGCTAGAAAGAATGACTGTTCATAATGGCTGTAATGCACAAACATTTGACCAGATTAGACCTCAACTGTTGAAATCATTCACTTGACATGATATAGCAAATAGATAATATTTAGTCAGTCATTTTTGCTATGAAAAGATCTCACACCTAGTCTTGTTTCAGTATAAAAAATTCCTTATGAGTTAGGGTTCCTTGCCAACATGTCAAATCGGAGTTGTGACTTAACTAACAGCTATGGTATATGCTACATAGTTTTTTCCCCTTATTTTATGTTGGATTATCTTGTTGATAGAAGAATGGAGGGAAGCTAAAGAATTGGAGAAGTTTTCTCCTCTCTACAGATGACTGTGATGGACATGTTATGCTTCCACTCTTTTGGATTGAAATTGACAACATGACATGATCGACTCAAATGTTAAATTTGGGTGCAGGTGTTGTGTCTTACTATCATTATTGTGCTGAGCTGGAAGGTGCACCAGTACTTGCCATTGGCATGCTGGCAAAGAGTGTAGCATACAGAATAACTTGTTTTGTTGTTTAACTTTTTAAACGAAGTAATACCCATAATTCTGATGAAAGTAGAATATTTTCAGCTATCCAGGTTCTGGAGGGTCAGAGTAGAGTTGCATGCTGCACATCCTGCACAGAATTCTGATTTTAATGGATTGTGAGATGCCTAGTTTACACTTGTAGCATTTAATCGTAACATAATGATGAGTTAGACCACTTCTCCTAATCTTAAGCTGATGGGAAAGGGCCCAAATTTATATTTAAGCTCTAATAGTAGCTCACCCTCATGCAAACCGGATGAATGAGTGCAGTGACCACTTATACTAGTTAGCTTTTGGATAAACTGGGAGTGGTATAAAATTTAACAGACCTAACAATCAGCGTGTGAACTATTTTAAGTACTCTAGTAACATTAATTTAACTTTCTGATTTATTTTTACATCTGTTACAATACATTGGCCTGCCTTGCAGAACAAGGGAAATGGAAACAAGCGGAAGATTGAAGAATATTATCCAGCAAAAACGATGAAAGTAACTCTTTAAATAATCTGCTTGGTTATCTTGTTAATGGCCCTTTCCTTTATTTTTTATTGTTACAGGAAATTTAGTTTCAGATTTCATGTTTTACCTTGCTCAATTTTGTTTGGTATTATTTGGAACTCTTTTTTTTTTTTGACAATGTGTCACATTGAACTAATTCTATTGGCATGTGATATAAAATCTGTTCTTGGCATTAAATTTCTCATTATATTCTCCCCAAAATATTATTGTCTTGTTGATGCCTTCAATGAGTTCGGTCTTGATTCTCTTTTTCTTATGATGCTTTAGGATATGATGGTGGGTTCTTCCTCAACGGCAAATATCCATATTGCTCCTAATTCACTTCCGTTGCATCAGATGAACAACTATAATCGTTTTCAACCCGTAGGTTGGTGTACAAAACTGAAATATCTTTTTGTTTGCTCTTGCTCACCTTTTGATACCCAAAATGTGTGAAATGTCCCATTGCCTATGTCCTTCTATTAGATGCACTCATGCTTACATTTGCTGCTACAGTCAATTATCTATGTCAATTTGATTTGTTGACTACCACCCATTGTTTCGCTGAATCCAGTTAGACTTTTGCTAGGTGCATCTTTTCTGATGATGATGTGGTTAAAGTTAGAGATTTTCAATTGAACCTCTGGTACTATAAAAATAGATTGCCCTAGTCTAATAATTAAAATTTATTACATACTGACCCAGCATGTAATTTAAAATCATATTATTTAAAATATATATGACAGTCAAGACAGTCAATGACGGCAAACTGTAAGTAAACAAAATTTACCAGTAAATTAATTGCAGTAAAATAACACCTTAAATTGAATAACTCAAATGAAAAAGAAGTGATCCCACAGGATTTTGAGTTGCCAAGTTCTTGTTAGAAATGGAGCACCATAAATGCCTAACTTGCTCTGTTGATAACTGAAAACACTTGATTTTTAATACAACTTCTCTCATTTTACAGAAGAATCTTGATCATAATATGAAATTTTATGAGCATATTAAGAAATTACCATAGTGGTGTTAGGACATTATTTATGTTTGGTCGACTTATATAGAATTTTGTCACATTTCTGCCTAATAAAACTGCACCAATCAAATCCATTAAAAATTCCAGGCACGTCGGTTCTAGAACAGAACTTTTTGACTTATATGCGATGAAAACCGGCTGCTTGTTTTCCTCATAAAACAGTACAGGATCTGAGTACCCTTCTGCTGGCAAATTTTGGTATATACCATGTTTGCTATTCATGGAACATTATGAAAAACTTAGTGGATTCGTTTTGTCCCTTCAATTGTTGAATTTGAAATTGTTGTTTTCGTGAATATCTTGTGGGTCCTTGCAAAATTATAATGAGTTAAAACCTCTTCAGATGTGCTTAGTGTGAGTTATGTTATCTCTTAATGTAATTTACATAATGTTGAGTTTAGATGATTTTGTTACTACATCTATGAATACTTCTGTGCATATATATTTATTTCTTTCTTCAAATAAGAAGAACCTTTAATTACTAAAAAGTTAAGTCTACAATATGACATGTGGAGGACATCATGCAAAATGGATGTTAAATCCGAAGGAAAGTTGTCCCTTTCTTTCCAAAAATAGGACAGATTGTGTTAGCTTTTCCTCCACTAATAAACATCTGTACTTTTTCATTAATAAAGCGATTTTTTCCAGCTTCCTAGCTACCTCATGAATCTGAATAGTGGTATCTTGTTATTTTCTCTTATTCTAGTTCATTTTATGTCATTATAATCGTCCATTGTTTGTTTGGCTTATACTTCCCACTTTGGATGCAGAAACGCAGCATCTTATTGACGAAAATTACAGCTGTCTGAGGGCTATTGCAAAAAATTTAGAAGAGGGCACGGTCTGTTGTCTAATATCCTGTGTTTTTCTATGATTGCCAGTATTTTTTTATATGCACGAGTGCCAGAAGTTTTTTGTTCTCTCTTGGACATTTTGTTGCTTTTGTTACGTGACAAATTTGAAATGATTCTTACAACTTCCAAGTTTGTAGTCGGTTTGCCCTGAAATAGATTGACATATTTTTATTAGATCGAACATATTCTATTGATTCTCAACTTTGCAGGTACAAGAGAACATTAGTTTATTTCTTCACACGAGAAATAACATCACTGTGATCGAGAACAGGTAAAATGCTGTCCAATTCTTTTGGGATGCTTGTTTGATGATTGATTTGTGAAGCATTGCCATTATTATTATTATTATTTGCAGGATAAACGCAATGTCAGCAACAACAAACCATCTTCCTTTGTCAATGACACATATGCCTCCTTTGCCAATATCTGTAAATGATCAACTTCTCTGCAGTCTTATCCCTCTTAACGGAAATGTAAGCTTCTTTCTCTCTTGAATCATAGTGTTGCATTATAATTTTTAACTTCTCAGCAGTCTTATCATTATTGAATTATTTTGAGGTATCATCCTATAAGTAATAAAATCACTTAACAGTATATGGATTCTCTGCTATTAGTAGTATCGATAGTTGAATAGATTGGTAAGATAAATGACAAAGGAAGATATTGATGCACCAAATTGAGTGCTTCATGAGCTGAGCATTTGCGTGGACTATGACTTTGTAGGTTATCTACACTGCACCTCGAAACAGTCATTTGCAACTGGACCCAACTTGCTTCGTACCTCCCCATATGATGACTCGATGAGCTCATTCAAGCTTCTAAAAGATCTCAACTTTGTAGCGTCAATTCTACATTCCAATTTTAATTCTAGTTGTGTATATTCGCTGCAGAACTGATAGATATTCTTGGATGTAAGAAAAATAATGATGTTTGCATGTTAGTATCAATTCAGGGTTGAATGAATTCGCGCCATTATTATTATATATATATTTTTGTTGTGTTGCATTGTCGATCTGCAGGTATTCATCAGCTACGTGAGAACAGTGTGCAGGTTGGTGTTGCTGAATCAGCACATCCATTCCCACACTGCTTTGCCGCGAGCAACGAACCTGCCGGGATTCTTCGAGTCGATCCTCATCGGGCTGCTCTTCCGAAACATCATCTCCGAGACCAGATCTTTTATGGGCGATCGTCCCCTTCGCTCGCTGTGCTTCCCCGACCCGCAGATGACCGAGATCTCCAGAGGAATCACATCCTCCTCCTGGAATCGTCGCCTGAGTTCCTGTATCCACTTCAACAGGATGATGTATGCTGCGGCGACGTGCAATCCATGGAGGTCCAGCTTTGATCCAGACGGCGACCACTCGGAGATGTCAGCCAACACAGATGAGCTTGTCAGTTCTTGGACCAGCAGTGCCTCTGTTCTTGAGGATGACTCGTTCTCCAGCTTCTGCAGCAGTTCCTCCATCGAGAGAGGAAGAGATCCGGCATCGGACGCGATCGAGACGACCCTTGGACATGAGTTCAGCACGCAGTTGAACGTCCGAATCGAGAACACGATGCCTTTCTCTCTCATCTTCGTCATCCAGGAAGCCATTTCTGGGAGCTCGCCATGGTGCCCGTAACACGAAAGAACCACGTTGACGCACACGGTGTCGATCGGTAATCCAGCGTCCTCCATCGATCCCACAACCCTTCGCATCTCCGACAACAGCCCTGATCGCCCATAACTTTGGATGACCGATCTGAACTCGAAAGGCGAAGGCTTGCATCCCGACGAAGCCATCTCCTTCAGCTTCGCCTCCGCCTCGCCAGGCATTCCCATCAAGCACAGGGCTTTGATCATCGACTCGTAAGGCCTCCTCCCGGCGAAGGGAACTTCTCGCAACCGCGCGTATGTCTCGAGAACCGGTTGCTCCAGCCCTTGCTCGGAGAAGCACTCGATGAGGTCGCAGTAGAAGAGGGCAAGGTCTCGATGGGTCTTTGACCTCGAAACCGCATCCAAGGTTAGGGTTTCAGCCTCGGCGCAGCGTCCTTGCTTCTCGAGCAAAGCGACGACGGTGGCCGCGAGCTTCGGCTTCCAGCTGAACCAACTGGCTTCGCTGATCCGCTCGTAGAGCTACAGAAAACGATCAATCCGGAATCGTTCCGTCTCAATCGGGACGGAAAGGGGGAAGAAAGAGGGAGCGAGGACTCACGGGGGGCGCGAAAGGGGAGGAGAGGGAGAGGAAGCTGGAGAGGGCGTGGAGGGCAGCAGGCTTGGATGAAGCGGCGAGGAACTTCCTGATGAGGCGGTCGGCGGCGGAGGGGTCGTCAGCAGAAGCGCCGCGGAGGTCGGAGACGAGGCGGTCGGCGTGCTTCCGGCGGCCGGCCAGCGCGCAGCGGAGGCCGGCGGAGGAGGGCGAGAACGAGGCTGCCGTTGCCCAGAGTAACGCCATCCTCGCACGGCCGTCAAGCACTCCGACAGGTACAAAGCTTCCGTCGCCAATTCACACTCATATAAATAGGCAAAACATATGGTGGGCTATCATTGTTACACACTCAGCAGTACATGACACTTCCAGAACGACTTTTTAAGAAGACCCGGTAAGCAACAGCAAGAAGGATAATTGTCACAATTCCAACTCCAATTCCAATCAACAAACTCACTATGGCAGATTTAGTTTTGTTTTCTTTTAGGGTCACTATGTTATTTTCTCTGCTTGCAGGTGGTAAAGGATCTTTGGATTCGCAGGGTGATGAGAGAAAGCCACAGAGCCCAGGGTTGCCTTCAAAGTCAGATCTTGAGAAGGTTGAAAACTGGCCTCCAGCAGGGACTTGTCCGACTAAATTGTTATATGCCACATCAAATTTTGACAAGAAACTAAGATTGGTGAGAGAGGAAGGTATTGCTCCTGTGAGATTATTGTGTGACAAATCCAAGATCTCTAAGCTTGTCATGCCCGACAGCTCTGCCGGTATGTTTCCCGAAAGATTATTCCAGCTCAAGTCCAACACATGGAGAACTACAAGGTTCCTGAATCCTGGCAAAATCTGCCCAACAAGCATATTATCACCCAGAATCAGTGATGGGGGGAAGCTGCTGACCTGATTATACTGCAAGCCCTTTCTACTCGAATTCCTCTTGATGAAGAATGGGAAGTTCTCCGTTGAGCTAACTCGCGGTGACTTGTTGCCGGACACAAGGCTCTTCATCTGTGTCAAGCTATTAGGAAGCTGTCCACTGAGGGAATTATTTGATAGATCCAAGTAAAAGAGGTCGTCAAGGTTCCCAACCCATTTTGGGATTGATCCAGATAAGCGGTTCCATGAGATATCCAAGACCTTCAATCGGGTCAAGTTTGCCAGCCATGATGGAATGGAACCTGTAAGAGCACAGTTTGCGATGACAAGCAACTCCATCTTCCTAAAACCTTGAATTGCATCTACCGGCATCATTTCACCACCATGGAAGTTCCTTGTCAAGATCAAACGAGTAAGTTTCGGGCAATACTGCAGGATTTGCAAGGCTGATGATATGTTAGAGAAGTGGTTACCAGTGAGAGACAGATCAGAAAGTGAAGTGAAGTTCTTGAAGCTGTGGGGGATTTCTCCAGTAAGATTGTTGTTGCCAAGATTTAAAGTTGTGAGTTGCACACAGTGGGGAAGCATGTCAGGGATGGGGCCAGAAAAAGAATTTGAACCAAGATTGAGGGTGCTTAATTTGGGCATTGCAGTGCAATTGAGATTGATTTCACCACTAAGGGAGTTGTTGTTCAGATTCAGCACTCTGAGCGATGATAAGTCGGACAAGGAAGAAGGCAAATTACCTTCGAGTTTATTGGACTGAGCAGAGAAAGACTCGAGCTTTGCGAGGCTACCAAACACATCTGGGATGAACCCAGAGAATCTATTAAGGGATAGATCGATCTCGACAAGGTTGGAAAGATTACTCATGTTTGTGCTGAGATCGCCGGAGAACTGGTTCCCCTGGAGGAATAACTGCGTCATGGATGTCATGTCGAACAAAGCATCAGGCAAGTCTCCACCGAGGTCGTTCATGCTGAGCCAGAGCTCGGTGAGGGAGCTGCAGCTCTTGAGACCTCTGGGAAGGTCGCCGTAGAACCTGTTCTCCGAGAAGCGGAGAATTCTTATCTTGGCTGAGGAATTGCAGATGCCGGCATCAATCGGGCCGTAGAAATCGTTGGAAGTGAGGTCGAAGGATGTCAGATTGCTGGAGCCTCCGAGGATCGGGTGGCCGCCGGTGAATTGATTGTAAGAGATGTTGAACACTTGAATCGCCGGAAGGCTCAGGTTCGATGGAATCACTCCCTCGAGCTGGTTCGTGCTGAGATCGATGAACTCCAGCAGATGTAGTCGGAGCAGCTGCGGGGGAACCACTCCTTGCAGATAATTCACAGAAAGGTCGAGCCTTTTCAGCTGATCCAATCCGGCCAACGAATAGGGAATCGAGCCTCTCAAGCTCTTTCCGCCGAGATCCAATCCGACCACCCTCCTCCCGTTTACCGTCGGAGGGCCGCAGGTGACTCCAGGCCAGTCGCAGCAGGAACCGGAAGAAGAGCCATTTAGAACCCACCCCAGTTTAGCCAGATCGAGCTCATTCGCGAAGCCCAGCAACGCGTTGAGATCCTTGGAATCGCAAGTCTGGTTCTGAGAAAACGCCTGTCGAGCTCGAATCAAGAAGAACAAGAAGCAGCAGGCGCGCACCGAGAGCAGGGCCAAGAAGCCTTCCCTGGGTACCATCAGAACTGAGATCTTGACTCCGTAGAGAAGACGAAGGTCTTCTCGTGTCAGAAATAATAAAATAAAATAAAATCCAATTTTGAATCTTAAAAAACATATCTTCAATGCTTTATTTATTAAGATCTTTTTTTTTTATTATAAAGACGAATTATTACTCTCGTCTCTTTCTTTACATTATAAAAAATAATTAATTTATTTTTAAAATAATATTAAACCGTATCATTTTTAAAACTTAGAAAAATAAAAAAAATTAAGATCCACCTGTCTTATTTTTTACCATGGATCTCTTAAATTTTTATGATTTATTATTTAAAATAATTTTTATATTTTAAAATAATTAAAATTTATTTGAACTCATATCGTTTTGAGAATGAATCACTTAAATCCTTATGATTTACTCATATCCAAAATAACTCATATATTTTAAAAAACGTAACATATAAGTCACTCTCGTCATATTTGAGTTAACACGTTAATGTCTACTAACTCATAATAAAATATTAATATAATGATACATGTCATTTAAGTTTAAAAAAAAATTATTTTAGCCCATGTGATTTTAACCATGAACCACTTAAGTCCTTATGGTTTTATTTATGTCTAAAATAATCTATACATTTTAAAAAACATAGCATATAAACCTTTTCCGTGAAGTTTAAGTTGATAGATATTATAGTCTATTTATATGATATATTGACTTATAATAAATTATTAATATAATGATATATATAATTTAAGTTAAAAAAAATAAGAAACGATGAAATAAAAGATGACGGGGATGAAGATGTCATTTCAAGATGAATTCTATAAGTTTTGCTTTTTTAGGCCACATCTAACTAAGACAAACCCCTATTTACAGTTATCATCTCTGGTCGATCACTACTTTTATCCCTCCTGTGTGATTCGGTGGGGACTGGTCATGATCTATCTATGTATTGACTTCGAAAGACTATTGGTTGACCACATGCTTTGCTTCTTGGTATCCTGATGCAAAGGGGGTCAAAGAAAGAGCGTCTCCAGACCCGACCCCTTTCCTTGATCGTCGTGAACTACGAATCTGCTTCCAACTATCTATTTTCGAAGAAATACCCTTGACATAAATTGGTGATGTTGGCCGGCTATCGGAGGTTCAACTCCAGGAAGGGCAAAGGATCAGCAGTTGACTTTTTACTATCACTGCCTGCAAATGGCACAAGAAAGATCGACTCTTTATCTTCTTTGCTTGTATGAAAGATCATACACAATCTGTTAAGAAGGAAGATGTTTTCGTTCTTTTCTTCTTTCATCTTAGCCTCCCCCTACTTGCCTTTGAAGAGACAGTGAAATGGAGTTAGACATGACCACCCACCGTTGACTGGACTGGGACTACTACGGGGGAGCAAAAAAAGAATGTCAAAATCCCAATAGTAGTGACTTGCTGATTCCCTCAACCCTCGACTTACCAACTCATTTCCCTTGTTTCAAGAGCTTGGATATGATCGAAATCTAATACAACTCTTTGGTACCCAACTCCTTACTCTCTTTAAGAAACCCAAAAGAAAGATAGGTGTGCACCGTGATATATGATCTATGATCGTGAACCCAAACTACAACTTCTTTAACCACTACATCTTTTGTATAAGTTCCGTTGGTATAAGATATTGATTAATATAGGATAGGCATACCTTCTATCTATGAGCTTATTGACACATGACACGACAATGCCCTTCCCTTTCCTCGCATAGCTTCTTATACGGTTCTTGCTTCTTATCCTTGTTCTATATGATGCTCGCTTAACGGCGAAGGGAATCTTGAAGGCCCTGTAAGCAAATCAACCTTTTTGATAACTTGGGTGAAGAGAAGAATCCAGGGAGTTAGCAACTGAGAATATAATACAATCGAACTCTATCAACGGAAAGGAGAATCGATCTGTTTAGGAGAGTTAGATAGGTAACTCTTTAGTCACGAAATAGAATTTCTTTCGTAGGTGGAGTGAGGAGGATCAACATAATCGATCTAGTAGCTTATCCGATGGGGACGAATAGAAGATCATTATATGTTTAGCATCGAACTGATCGACACACATCTATTTGAGGCAGGATCGGAAGATCCTGAGCTTACCGTTAGTACAGGAGAGGCTATGTGCATACGACGCCCTGCTGGGCAGTAGTGGCTCGATGCTGCTGGTGGTGGTTGCTTCCACAACAACGCCTCCTCCCGTCATTAATGGTGGTATTATTTTTTAAATTTAAATTATACGTATTATTATATTAATGGTTTATTACGAGTCAGTATGCCACGTAAGCAGATTTTAATGTTTGTTAACTCAAACTTGATAGAATGAGCTTATATGCTATATTTAAAAAAAATGTAAGGGTTATTTTAGATACGAGCAAAACCATAAGGACTTAAGTGATTCATGACTAAAATCATAGGGACTAAAATGGATTATTTTTAAACTTAAATTATGCATGTCATTATATTAATAGTTTACTATGAGACAGCATACCACGTAAGCAGATTCTAACATCTATTAAGTCAAACTTAACGGGTGGGACTTATATGCTACGTTTTTTTTAAAATATATGGATTATTTTAGACATGAATAAATTATAAGGGCTTAAGTAATCCATAATCAAAACTACAAAGGTTAAAATGAATCTTAAATAAACTATTAATATTATTTTGTGTCAATGATTCATACCCAAGTTAATGAATTAATTATAAAGATTTCTATTGGTAACTCTTTTTTATTATTTATAATATTATTTTTAAAATTTTAATATTTCTATGATACCCTTATATAAATTAACACAAATATTATTATTATTATTATTGTTATTATTATTATTATTCACTATCGTTGAAGAGGTGATGACAGAGTAACATTGATAGCATTGAACGATGTCGACCAAAGTTTTTATCCACCTACGTCAGATCATCGAGCAATGTCCGTCGAGCAATGTCGGATGACAGAGTGGCGTCAAGCGATGTTAGCATAGCTAGGGTTTCCACCACCTCTCTTTCTTTGCTGAGTGATTCTTAGTTAGCTAATAGATCTTTCCACTGTGAGTAGGCTGCAGTGATATGGCTGACCCCAAAGAGATCTACTAAGGTTTTCTTTAGTCTACCATGGTGATTTGCTTGTTGTCTTCTTTAGGCATTCACAAATGCCAAACTTATTATACCACACATTCAAACATCTTTTAATGATCTATCGCCATGGCAAAAGCACTTTGAAATGGCTGGCACTATAAACTGATTCATGTAGTGGTCATTGCTCCTCCCATGGAAAGAAAGCTTTTCAAGATTGAGAAAGGCCAAGCATGGCTAATGGACTGCATAATTGAACAATTATTGACTATTAGCTGCAGTTTTGTGTTGCTATAGAGAGTCACAATCAACTAAACAGACTGCATGACACCACTAAATAGTCATATTCTCCACAATGTCATCCATGACCAATGTAGTTGTCACTGCAATATAGAGATTAATAACTATTCATGTTAACTCTGAGTCAGGAAACATATACAGGTATTAAATTTTCTTGGTCAGTGGGATCTTGAAGCTTTTGCATATCAAGTAGGATTATTGGATCTCTGAAACTTTTAAGTCAAATGTTGTTAAGCCATATCAATTGCTCCATTCATCCCCTTCCTTCTTATACAACTAAACTTTATGACTCCAACTGCATCTCTTCTTAAGACTTTGTGCATATCAGTGAGCAATTTATATTGACTTACTGGCTCACCACTAACCAGAAAAACACAAGTAATTCCTGCTTAAGTAGCTTTTCTGAAATAGTTGCAATTAGGTTGGAATTATATTTTCAATGTTTGGTTTGTTCAGAACTCATGTACATATTTATCACTTGATGTTTCACTCAGAAATGATGTTTTAGTGAACAAGCACATAGTTCATTACATAAAAAGCATCACTTTTCACAACCAATGCCTTATTTTTCCACCTCAAATCAAGTCATTGTTGTGCCACTGTCACTTGGTTATGAGTGTGAGGGGCATCATTCAAGGACCAGATCTCTTCCCTCTTAATCAACAAAGACCTTTTATTAGTTCAGGTCAACCCCATCCACTTGTAGTTCAAAATGATACACTCATAAGCCAGTGCAGATATGGCCACGAGCTGTCACTTATTCTCAGCCTAAAATAATTAGGATCTCCAAAAAGATTTGCCCAACTTATGAAGTGATATAGTATTGTAGCACACTACAAGATTGAAGCAGTTGAACCTCCAGCTGAACTTTTCAATATACAAAGCACTTGAATAGGATTGCTCCACAGCACTATCTTAACCCACAGTGTTGTAGGTATGCTCTAGCAGAATCCTCATTTTCTTCTTGCTATCTGTTGCAATAGTCCATAGGGATACTTTTGAACAGGATCAAATTATCCAAAGCAACTTCGAGATGATGGACTCTTTGTTCTTTTAGCCTATGGTCATTGCTTAATAAGCTCTGAGGACTGTAACACAAATTCCAGAGACAGATGACACAGAAGTGATGGCTGGTAACCCTTTCTTTTCCACTTCTTATTACAAGGGTTAGCCATGGATTAGAATTTGCTTCCAAATCCACATGTAATTGTGTATTTTGAGCTTGTCAGCTAAACATAAGTGCTCAAACTTTGTCCTCAGATTTTGACAGAGGTTATTGTACTCGAGGTGTTAGTTAACGCATTATCCTTTGCGGTAAAAAATATGAGCATCAAGTTGTGAAACTTGTAATAATTCTTGAGTCAGAAAACAACTTCTCTATATTGATAGCTTTCAATTTAAACAAATCCAAGTAGTTTGACGAGATCCTTTTTTATAGTAATACTAAGTTCTGACTGTAGAATGGGTCTTCCAAGTTCTCTTTGATTTTTTTCCCCAACATATTTAATATATGCATATGTTTTTGTTGATTGACTACAACCTTTTTCCCTAATATTGTAACTGAAGTCAACAAAAGAAGCTTGATTTCTATTAGGTTTGCTGTCATTAATGCCAGATGACAAACACTTGGACAATCTTTTATGCAATGATGTCAACAACCAAGGTGTTCAAGCTCATGATATCCAATACTCTTAACCTC